TGCAACACAAGACTTCAATTGTAATTTGATGTTCTCGTGCTACTTCCTTTGCGTTCTTTATCTCCAAAGGATCCCTTGAGTTCTTTATCTCCAAAGAAATTCACTTTGCCGCAACTACCTCTCGAACGTCTTGCAGAAAAACCCCAAAATCAACCAATTATCTTTGAGGATAAACCCGTGGTTTTTCCTGGATGAAAATCCCTACAAAACTCAACCCAATACACAATTAGACACTAACAATCCTCATCTAGATGACACTCGAACGGAACATCGTTACAATGTAATGTCAGTCTGTATGCATAGGTTGGAGGTTGAAGATGAAGAGAGAAGTAGACTAATTTTATGGTTTCACCGACTTATGAATGATGCATGAAAGAGTATTTATAATTTTGGAAGTTTTAGGACAAAAAGGACAAATTCAGAATTAAAAAGATTTAGAAAAATTGACCAAACAAATAGGATGTGTCAACCTATATATCGTATGTGTCGACACATACATAAGTTTTAAACTGTATGTGTCGACCTGTATAAGGCTATGTGTCGACCGAAACAATTCATAGGCTACAGGTTTTAAAACGATAGTAAATGTGTCTACCTGAAAAAATGAATGTGTCGACACATAAAATAAGAATTTCTACAATTTCAGAAATGCTTCAGTATGTGTCGACCTATACAATGCATGTATCGACCTGAGTCTTCCAGAGGCTACATGCTTCAAAAATGAGTTGCATGTATCGACCTGAAAAGTGGATGTGTCGACACATACAACAAATAATTATACAGAAAATTGTTTTTAATGATTTGGATCAGTTTTAAAATGCTTTTTAATGATTCATAATACCTCTAATGCATAAGAGTGCCACAAGACATAAGAATACCATCCAATGTACATAAGTGCAAGCTTTTCAGTTTTGACATCATTCAAAATCTTTGATGACAAAGTTGTACTCACAAGAAGTAATATCAAAGAAGAAAAAATGAAATTTGAAAAGACAAGTAGATATAATCATTCAACAGCTTGAGGGATTAAAGAACTAATAATGATTAAACTTGACATGCGTGAAATCTTTTGGCTTTTATATTTTCAAGGATCACAAAAGATGAAGAATCAGAAGAAACAATATAAAAGCGGAATTACTTTTTGAACCAAAACACAAAAAGAACTTTATCCAAAGAAATCAGAGAAGAAGAAGAATCAAAATGAATACTTTTGATGAAGCTTCAAACAATGCTAAGAGAGTTTACAACAATTCTGAAAGAACAGAAGATGTTGTAATTGTAGAGGTTCACAAATACGTTAGTTGTTTCTATTCTGATACGATTCAGAAAAATTCAGGGGGAAAATTTGGAAATTTTGTAAAACAAAAAAAATATATTAAAAGAACAAATAAGTTCACAAGGGTTGTTTAATATAACAGTTGTTATAGCTATCTAGAATAATAAAATTCAAAAATGGCGTTGCTGAGTATCGAATTCATGAACTATAAATTATTTCACAACTGTTGTTTAACACAATTGTTATTATAGGTAGTGCACTATCCAATTTATCACAACTGTCAATTGACTGTGATTGTAAACTACACACTTATAATCACACCCAACTTCAAAATGGTTGGTCAACCGTGAAGATATCATTTTACAAACCATTGTGAAATGTGTTTTTCGTAGTTGTGTGTCTGGTGATGTGTAATATCGTTAGTCAAGAGAGAGGAAGTCCACCACTACTCCCTAAAGCTTAGACAGTTAACAACTTCCCCTGATCATGAGGGAGCAGTTGCCGCCTCTAAGAGTTACCTAATCCCTAGGCCCAAGAGGACTTTATAAATACTCCTCTCACGTGGAGGGAAATACAAATCTTAAACCATACTGATTACACCCCACATCCGCTTATACTTAAGTGCACCACTCAATAATAAAATCGTTTGCCTCACGTGAGCGGGACCTCTAAACCACCGTAAAACACCACCATACAAGATTTATCACCGTTGTGGACAAGCTCTAGCCACCATACATCATAATATATCTACTAAGACTTTGTCCTTTGCACCACACACACCTCTACTTTTTTACCAGTACAATAGCATCCTGATAAAACTAATATGTGTCACACCTTCTTCACTAATATGTGTCACACCTTCTTCATTACTCTCTATTCTTACACCTAATCGCTTCCGCCATGGTTAACACAATAGCTCTTTTCCCAATGCTAGAGAGTACCAACAATTATATATATATATATATATATATATATATATATATATATATATATATATATATATATATATATATATATATATATATATATATATATATATATATATAATTTCATTAAAAAATTTATTTTAAAATTTTTATTAACACAATGGAAGAAAAAAAATATAGTTTATCATGTTACTTATTTTTTATTCAATTTGTACCATAATATAAAATTTTATTTCGAAACACATGATTGAATTTTATGACATCTAATTTATATAGCTTGATATTTTATTCAATACTTCAACACGATGTAAAAGTATTATCTTATCTTAAGTCTTACCCAATAAGACCCTTAAGAACTTTGCTTTCAAGAAATAAAGACATTTTACTTTAATTTATCTACCATTTGCATATAGAGACCTCTCACCCATAATTTTCTCTTTTGAGATTTATATTTTTAATTTTTCAAAATTAGAATGTTTTATGTTAGTAGACGAAACGATAATAACCACTATGCAGAGACATAACTTTGAGAGCCAGATTTGAACACTATATTCAAACTAACTGGAAAAAAAATTGTTTTGTAATGTTACTGGTTAGAAGCAAGCATTTTGTATGGGAGAGATTATTAGTTATGAAATTTAAAATCACTCGAATCAATAATGCAAATATGGAGAGATTAGAAGCAAAAATAGAATAATGAGAGGAGAAAAAAAACGAATAAATCCTTCCATTACAAGGAAAACTATGAAAGTTGAAACCATGACAGAGTTCCTATTTGAAATTTCATATTTTCTTCCCTGCAAATTTTGGCAAAGGAAGAAAGTATAAATGTGGAAACAGCATGATGAATTCAAACTTGCAATCATGATGATTAATAGAAACTTATAAAGATCACTACTGTACATGATAAGTGTGGATGGATGTATTCACAATGTCTATACTTGTATTTTTCACTTTCCTTCCGATGCAGCGTCATCGATGGCAGAAAACACGTCCAACCAACCGCAGAAGATCAAGTCGTTTCATCGAATAACATCATCTACATCAAAACAAAACAAAACAAAACAAAAACCAACTCTCAAAAAGAATATCATTGTCATGCATAACTGCGTCTACATCGAAAATAACGATGGAATCAAGTTCAAACAGCCAGAGACTGATTACACTGATTCCAGTGTTGTCATGAAAAATAGCACTTTGTTCAACTTCTGCTGCGCTACAATGCAAATACGGTGCTATAGCCACTATTTGACAACACTTTGTACAATATTGCATATCATATAACAAAAGCAGTTTGTGAAAATTCCGCTACACTACAGCGCTATAGAGCTTATTTGAAAATCGAGCGATGCAGTGAGAAAGAATTTGAAAAGTACGATGTAGATATTACCTTCCCACAAACAGGACAGCTGTCACTTCTTTCCATCCACTCATATATGCAACCAAGATGATAATGATGAGAACATTTTGTCATTATCTTCGGATTCTCCTCAGTGTATTCTGCAAGGAAAATTGAGTCAAAATGTTTCGTAGTTCAAACATTGAGTGGACTTCTAATGAAAAATTTGAGTATGAAACTGCATGAAATTTTAAAAATGTCTACCTTCAAGACAAGTTGGACAAACATCCTCCTCTTCTGACGACGGGTACACAAGCACGTCTCCAGTTGTAAGTTTTGTGGACGAAAGTCTAACTGAGGACTTGGAACGATATTCTTTTGATCCATCTTTGCCAGTGGATTCATTCCATTTACCACTCGAATTAAAAGATTCTGTATCTGCATCCACATCGCCTCTTAGAAGTTCTGACTCCTCATTCAAATGACTGGAACCCTTTTCACGTCTTGAAACTAGTCCGTCGTGCTGTGAGCGGAAATGCCTAGGGTCTGCATCATAAGGCAGCGGTCTTGGAGGAGAACGATACATGTCAGATAGGGAACTATCAAGTGATGCTGAAGTCGTCATAGATGCTGCCCCCTGTACCGATGAAGGAAGCGCGTGCATTTCCCCTCTACGAAATACTAATGAATACTGAAATTTGAGGTAGATAGGAAAAAAGTTAATAATACGTAGACACATCATTCTTAAAAAATCGCTTTGGGACCGAATTATTCTCCAAAATGTTGCGTACAAAATATATACGTAATTGATATTTTTTTTTGGCTTTCGCACTCTAGTTCATAGGGGAATGGGGCCCTATGAATACTCTAGTTCATAGGGGAATGGGGCCCTATGAATCTAGAACTCGTGAACTGTTGTATGAACACTGGCCAAACATTGTTCATGCCAAGAATCGAACTCCCCGAATGTCGTCCTTTGCAGGAGCTCCTTTACCACTGGAGTCCAAGTGCTTGGTTAGATACGTAATTGGTATTTAAAACAATGAATTAACCACAAAAGACTTAAGGTTCTTTGATGTATATTTAAGAACAACAAAAGTAGAGAGACGCAAGATACATAGTATAAGGTTAGAGAAGGGGGTTCAGAATTTTAGTCTTACAACAGCCAAAAGGTTTTGTAGGAAGCAACCGGCACACACGCAGTTTCTGTATACATGGCTATGTGGATCCATATAATCTTCCAAATCATCACCACTCAAACAAGAACAAAAGGAACCCATGATTTCAGCTTCAAACTCTTCCCCTCTTTCAGATTAAAACTCTAGCACTTCTCAGCACAATAGATCGCCAAAATTTTGATTGACCTACATTCACACAATGAGAAAAAGGAGCCCCCGACAGCACTAGCCAAAGACTATGCTTTCTAAAAAAGAAGAGAGGATTCTAAGCTCGCAGAAGTTTAAATGCCTCCGCAAACCAGCACCCTCCCTCTTTTGTTCAGATGATCGGTTATATGGATAAGCAGATTCCAACTCTCTTGATCACCTGTAAAATACACCAAAACGCATAAACATCACTAATAAAAATAATAATCTGAAGTAGAAGCTATCAGTTACACAATGCAATTATTCAAAACAACAAATTTGCTAAAGGCTTGCATTGAATCGAGCAGTAAATCCAATGAACATGCTCAAAATCCAAAGCAGCATGCATACAGAAAATCACTGGCAAACAAACATTAAAATTTAAAACTATCCTCAAAACACAAAAAACTGTTATTTTCTCTTAAGTGTAAAAAAATTACTAGTACTTTTTGTCTTAACTCTCAAGGAGAAGGGACCACAGGTAATCCCTAGTTGGATTAAGAGTTATGTAAAACCTAACCAACTCTGTTGCACCGACACCTTTGAAAACAACATGTTCGTGTCAGTCTGTGAATTCGACATCAACACTTGTGACACTTGTGATTATGTTTATTCATTTTTTCAAATTAATACCGGTGTTGACACAGTGTTGACGTGTCAGTGTCGTGTTTTCGGTACACGTGTTTCATAGCTAACCCATAACTATTTGAGGTCAAAAAATTTAATATGCCAAAAATTAACATGTATGAATATTCAAAAGGAGTATTACAAATGATGTTTCAAGGGAAACCTATAAATTGGTTTGTAATGTTCCTTCAAACAATGAAAAAAGAAAACAATTCTTTACTTCACTGAAAAGCTATGAGTACATCAATCACCATAGAAACATGATTGTTTCTCTTATTCATCTGAAAAATCACAATCACTGATCTTAATCATCATCAACAACAACAACAACAATCCATAATCATCAAATCATAGCAGAATGAAAAAAATTGACAAAAACATATGTAGATCATCAAAACATAAAATTTCCATAAACAAAAACAAAAACAAAAATTGATGATCCAAAAAACAAAGAAAAATATACCCAGTTACGATAATCAAACAAAACCACAATAAAACGATGAAAAACGGAATTGGGCAAGCGAGAAAACGGAAAAAGGTTGAATTTTTACGGCAAAAAGTACCTGAGAAAGTTAAATTCTAACGCGTTGCTGTTAGGGAAAAAAAGAGAGAAAAATTGAGATTGATTTTGGATTATGATGATAAAATCAGGTTTTTCTAAAAAAGGGTTTTGGAACTTTCGGTGGAATTTCAATTTGCCATGAATGAATTCGCCAAATTAGAGAGAAACTATTACATTTGGTTTTGGTGTGGCTCTATTTATATTCATTGAAATTTTCTTCATGGACACTTCTATTTATTTTTTAATGATTTTAAATAAATTAAAAAATAATAATTGAGTGAAGAGAGCATGGACTAAAAAGTAATATATATATATATATATATATATATATATATATATATATATATATATATATATATATATATATATATATATATATATATATTATTTTTAAATAAAATTTATCTTTTTATAAAAATTTAAGTGAGTTGAAGTTCACGATTTACCATATTTAAAACTGACTTTAAAATACAATATTTATAAAAATAATTATTCGCTCATCAAAAACATCTATGTTCCCTCTAATAACTATTATAAGTAAAAAATGATATTAAATATTTATTATTATTATAGTAAAAATTATTAACTTTTAGATTAATAATTAATGTTTATATTATTCTTATATATTTAATTTAATATAAAAATATTTAATATTGATAGTTGATTCATCAAATATAATTAAGAATATTATATTTTATTCATCTTATATTATTTGTTGTAATTGATCATTTCACATTGATTAAGATATAATAATAAATAAATAAATAAAGAATAATAATTTTATTAAATTATAATGATTAATTATTAGTATATTTAAATTAACATTAATATTAAGTAAAAAAATAATAAATTAAAATTATTTATTAAAAAATTAAATATAAAATTGTATTGTTAATTTAAAGTGATAAATATTTAATTTTTTTTCTTTTAAAGGTGACACTTATTTTAGGACGGATAGATTAGTAATTTTATTTTGATTCTATGTAAAATCAAAAAAATTAATTACACTTAATTAATTTTTTTAATTTATTTAAAAATAATTATTTTGATTTATAGTTATTTTGTATAAGTCAACACCTTACCAATTGACTGAATCTATCTTGACTAAATAAAATCGATTTGTTTTAGTTTTTTTTACAAAATCATAACTTATTTTTTAAAGTTGCTTTTTTTAATAAAAAAGTTATTTTTAAGAGTTTTCATTTATTAAGTAAAGATAAAGAGCTATTTTTAATTATTTAGAAATTTTTTAATTATGATAAATAAATAATTCCAATTTTTTTTTTTAAACTTCTAAATTATGAAATATCAAAACTATTTTTTTTTATTTGATAAAAAGACTATTTTAATACCAATATTAATCTATAGCAAATTGGCCTAAAATTTTCCATAAAATGAAAGGTATTTCAACCCTTTATAATGGCCGTTTGTGCCTTGGGTTTGGTGAGTGGGTAGGGTAGAGGAATCTATATCCCTTCCATTTCTAACTTTTATGTGTTATTAAAATTCTCAAAGGACAATGACTCTATTTTCTAATATGACCAAGTCCCTCCCGCCCTACACGATATTGTTATTGGACCAAATCACCTCTCAAATTTCTTCATTTATAGGGACATTATAGAATGCTACGCCATTAAAGTTGTCTACGGTAGGCAACATCATTCTAAGTTTCTACTTTTTGTTAGACAAGAGGAAATGTATTAAATAAATGAAGATATTGTGTTTTATGATTTGTGGAAAAGAAAACTATTTGTAGCTTACTATTTTAAAAAGTCAAAATATTGTCTTTTATGATTTGTGGAATAGAAAATTATTTGTATGTTTTGTTTTTTATTCTTATTTTATATGCTATATTATTTTAAATTTTTATAAAAGAAAAAAAATTTTAATTTCAAAAATAAAAATTTGACTTAATATTTTTTATCCCTTATATATATATATATATATATATATATATATATATATATATATATATATATATATATATATATATATATATATATATATATATATATATATATATATATATATATATATATATATATATATATATATATATATATATATATATATATATATATATATATATATATATATATATATATATATATATATATATATATATATATATATATATATATATATATATATGTTCATGGTTATCCATTTTTTATTAAAACGCTCAATTTGATCATTTATTTATTAAAAATGTGGCATGTTTGTCTTTTATGTTAGATCTGTTAATCAAAGTCAAATCTGATTGTCAAATAGCGTTGATGTGGAAATTAGGTGTTGAGGTGGAGAAAATATGAAGAGTGCATTAACTTAGTAATGTTTTGTATGTCTCATTCATTTCTTTATTTCCTAACTCTAGCAGAAAAACATGAGATGAGGTGACGAGCTATAAAGGCGACTGCGAAGAAGGCGACCTCGTTTGAAGAAGCTTTGAAGATGAAGAGCAAAGCGTAATCAAAGGTTGAGATGAAAGTGTGGTGGAGAAAACAAAGACAGTCTCGGTTAGTATCAGTCATATTGTTTCGATTTTAGGGTTTAGCGTTCGTAATGTTATGTGGTGTTTTTGTTTTTTTGAAATGTTTAAACTTTATTGGCATGCATCAATGTTATGTATTTCTGGTGTTAAGATTTTATAGTTTTCACCCCTTTGTCAATTTTACGTTTTTTGGACTTAGGTAAAAATGGTTGAATACTTGTGTTTGAATGTAGGGTTTATGATTCATAATGTTATGTATTATTAAAATTCTCGAAGGACAATGACCCTTTTTATTAATATGACCAGTTCCTTACCCTACACATTATTCGACCAAACCATCTCTCATATTTCTTCATTATAGGCAAATTATACAGTGGTATGCCATCAACGTTGTCTATGGTGGACAACGTCATTTTAAGTTTCTATTTTGTTTTAGACAAAAAAAATTTAAAGAAGGTTAAAGAAAACAGGACAAAGCAAAAACCCTCTTGGTCTGAAAGTCTTAAAGACGGAGAGATTTATCCTACTCAAAATTTTGGGAGGATATCCTCTTCAGTTATATTTAGGGGTGGCAAAACAGATTTGATCCATCGAATGTACTCGTTTATCCATATTTTTTGACGTGACTCATCCTGTTTTTTTTGTAGACTTTTGTGGGTAAGAGCGTTAGCCTGATTTTTTGCATTTTTATACTTAAAAATGTGCAGTACTCGCGGACCCGTCCTTCCCCGCCATCATTTTTTTACGGCACGAATCAAGACTTTAGGCTCACACCCTCAATTATGTTTGTCTCGTCCCACCCTATTTTTTTCCCATCTCTAGTATCATTTATGTCCCATGGAATCTGGACCATTCATTTAATTTATATTATGTTGATCAAATCATAAAAATTAAAACTGAATGATGGATATGTCCACTAGATTCGCTATAGTGTAATCTATGACCGGAGAGAATTCATATACCAAATATCCTTCTAAATAGCATTAGAAATATCACTGGGCCCGATGGAAACAAAGAGGAATAATTCTAGATTAGTCAATTTATTTGTAAAATAATTATTTTTCCTATAAATATGATTGATGATAAAAAATCATATTAGAGGTCAAACGGATACAATAGATTCATGTATTTCTAAATTGCAAAGGGTGATAAGTTTTCTAATTGATTATTCAAACTTCTCATAGAGGATTGACATATCACAAGTATACAAATATATTAAATTAATATAAAATAGTTATCATTCCTCGTAGACCTATTTAAGAATTGAGTTCTACTATTTCTATGTTTATCTAAGACAGTCGATTTTGATTGTTGTTTTGTAAATAATTGAAATTTGATTTTAATAATTTTATAAATGAGGGTATAGGACAATGATTCGCGTTGTAAAATTACTCATACAAGTGTGATTTAAATTAATAACAAGAAGTTTATTTATAGAAAATAATAGCGTTTATTGGTAATGCCTACTTTCTTCAGTGATTTAGTGTGTTCTAAACTAACGAGTTACTTGCTTTCGTGGCGTACCTTTTTTGTTTAGAAACCTTCAAAAGTGCAGCTATTAAAATAGTGAAGCAATTCTTAATTGACTTTGATACATTTTCGTTGCCACATATTCAATTGTCTAAATTTCTAAGGAAAACATTGATTATACCCTTTCAGCGTATAATTGATGCTCGAGTTGTTGCTACTTTCATAGTGAACATATTCATTAAAATCTAAAATATGAAACAAAGAAAACACTTCTCGTTATTAATCGTTCATCAGACAACTTGTACGAGGTTTGTCAATTAGACAACTCTCATGTCTCAAATCCTAAAAAATATCTACTTGGATGTGCTAATAAGTAAAGTAAATAAAACAACATGCAACACAAGCATATTCATAAGGCAAAGCTGGAATTAAAAACCTGAACTGTAGTGTGATTTGATACAAAAGATGATCCAATAAGACTTTAACTTTTGGGAAGGGCAACCGATTTAGGGTCGTCTGACTTACTCCAATTATACATCCTTATTTGATATATGCATATAACTTTTATATTTTCAGGCATTGGGGATAAGCTCACCGTTTAATTGAATAACCTGTCGAGGATTATCCAAATTAGTGGACTAAGTTGTCTTTTAATGCCCTTATTCATTTTTTCATTTTTTCTATCATCTGAAGGTAGAGAAAAACATAAGAAAGTGGAGTTTGAATTGAGTTTTCAAAAACTATTTATTTTTAGAAATGCTTATCACAAACGAACAATGAGAGGTAAGCTAGAAGGAAAATGATATGATTAGTTTATACAAGTTCACCTTAGAAAGGGCTACGTTTGTCCACCCGCCGAGGTGATTTTGCCTTAAAAAATGCCCCAATCCAATAATCTAGAAAGATTACAACAACTTCTAAGAGTTTAGAAAAACACCTTAGTCCTCTCAAGTAATTCTGACTACAACTTAGTCACTTGAGGAAACAAATCTAAAAATATTTACAATCAAGCAGTGTTTACAAGAGTGTGTAGCAACTAGTTTTTTAATCAAGAGTCGCCACTATTAGTTTTTATCTTAGGGAAGGGAATCTAACAGAAAACCCTAATTTGCAGACAGAGATTCTAGGTTTCAGACTTCTTTAGATGAAAGGAAGGTGTTAGGCACCTTTCATCTACCTTCTTCACAAGGATATTAGGTTTTAGGGTTAGGTTTGGGTAAAATAGGGGTTTTAAGTTTTAATTAGGAGGAAAAAAGGCTTTTAATTATTAATAGGGAAATGGTTTTAATTTTTTATAGGGGAACTCGCTACGATTTTTGATCGTATGCCTACGTATCCTCTTATGAGGAATCAGAGTCCCAATTTGTAGTTTCTATGTGTGATACGGTGGGAGAACTGACTTGGGTGTTTTGTGTTTGATCGCAAATGTTGCGGTTAGCAAGAGTCGCCACCGACTTTTCTTTTATCCAAAAGGAAAGGTGAAAAAGCACAGGAAAGACCTTTGAGATTGTTTCTTGAGTTCGGAGGGTAAATTATGAAAAGGGAAGGTATTAGAACCATTTTCATCCATGGTTTTCTATGGGCTCTTAGTTACTTGCTAGATCACTTGCTTTTGTTTGAAAATATGCTTTGTGTGGTTTTTGAAAGTATTTTGAAAAGGCGCCATCGTTTGGGCAAGCTTTGTAATGAAAACATGTGATATTTGAGTCAGAAGCATAGTGCGATTTAGTGCGATCAAATCAAAAACTTGATGGGGTCTGTGAGGTATAGCCTAAATATAGTACTGCAAGTGCATAGCCTATCGAAGTAATATATAAGATTATCGAACGACAGAGACCAATTGTCAATCTATCAACTCTATTGCTAAGGTGCTTATCTAAGGCGAACAAGAATATTGATGTGAGTGCAGTGCAACAAAGTAAATGAGCGAGGTAAATAACAGTTTAAAAGACAGGTTGGAATGTAAATCATGTAATCAGATATTGGTCCGGTCATGCGTAGATGAAACTACTTATGGGGCAGTATTTTCTATTGATAGCAAAGAATCAATTTAACGGGAACTTGTAGCTTTTGACTACTAAGAACCGAGTTTACTCTTTAAATTAAATTCCTTTATTGTCACATATAAAGGGTGCCTTCCGCGTTAAAGAGGTAAACCTATTTTTAAGAAATTGATAGTTTTGACTTAACAGAAAAGTAATTTTACTTGGAAAGATTAACTTAAAGAGACTTTTGGCTTTTGACCAAGAGTCAGATTTCAAACCTACAAACGCGTCCGAAAATAGTTTCAAAATCGTTTTCTAAAAAGGTCAATGATTCCTATTTAACCAATCAACGGCTTTCGCTCTTTTTGTTTGGTTAAATAATAATCAAGTCATATCATTAGTTTGGACGGCTTTCGATCTTACCCAATAAACATTTAAACATAATTGACTTAAGTTAAAAGCAAAACATCCCCAGAGTATTTTCACTAGCATGATAATTGGAACACGACCATGATGACAATCATTACATCCAAACCTTTATAGTTTAGCCAGACATAATAAGTGCGAGTCTATAAAACGTGTAGACTATGGTAAGAGCATTTAGAGTCTATAAAACGTGTAGACTATGGTAAGAGCATTTAGAGTCTATAAAACGTGTAGACTATGGTAAGAGCATTTAGAGTCTATAAAACGTGTAGACTATGGTAAGAGCATTTAGAGTCTATAAAACGTGTAGACTATGGTAAGAGCAATTATAAGTAAAGAAATGCAATAAATTAGAACCTTGCTCCAGTCGGAGACTTGAATATGATACAAATCTGCGGAATGGTAAGGCTGGTATGATAAACTTTAACCAAAGTGCTCCAAGACTCGATTACAACTCAATCTACACCGCAATAACTCCCCGATGTGAAGAGATTATTACTTTACAGAAACTGATAGTATATGGCTTAAGATTGTACTAAGCTTGGATGAAACTAAAGAATGAAAATCGAAAACTATTTATAGAGGATCCTTGAGATGCGTAAAGACCAGCATGCCCCTTAACTTCTTTTGAGCGGGAAGCTTTTTGTGAAGGCCGCGGGCGCGGTGGTTGGAACTGCCACATCATGGGAACGTGGCAGTTGATCTCTGGGTGAAAGTGGGCCACGTCATCGCGTTCCCTGTAGCCAGCGCGGCGCTGAACGCCATAAGTGCATAATATCTTGAAAAACCCTAATTTCTTGGCGTTTTGGCTCGTTTCTTCACAGAAGGCTCTGAAATGACAAGAATCCTGAAAACAAAGGAAAAAGGAACATAATACGAGAAAATGATAATAAAAACTAAGGAAAACATGTGATATTTGAGTCAGAAGCATAGTGCAATTTAGTGCGATTTAGTATAGTGGTAAGTATTCCCGCCTGTCACGCGGGTGACCCGAGTTCGATCCCCGGCAACGGCGCCAAAAACTTGATGGGGTCTGTGAGGTATAGCCTAAATATAGTACTGCAAGTGCATAGCCTATCGAAGTAATATATAAGATTATCGAACGACAGAGACCAATTGTCAATCTATCAACTCTATTGCTAAGGTGCTTATCTAAGGCGAACAAGAATATTGATGTGAGTGCAGTGCAACAAAGTAAATGAGCGAGGTAAATAACAGTTTAAAAGACAGGTTGGAATGTAAATCATGTAATCAGATATTGGTCCGGTCATGCGTAGATGAAACTACTTATGGGGCAGTATTTTCTATTGATAGCAAAGAATCAATTTAACGGGAACTTGTAGCTTTTGACTACTAAGAACCGAGTTTACTCTTTAAATTAAATTCCTTTATTGTCACATATAAAGGGTGCCTTCCGCGTTAAAGAGGTAAACCTATTTTTAAGAAATTGATAGTTTTGACTTAACAGAAAAGTAATTTTACTTGGAAAGATTAACTTAAAGAGACTTTTGGCTTTTGACCAAGAGTCAGAT